ATGCCACCAAATGTGCAATCATATGCTATCATAACGCCACCAAAGAGGAGCGCTACGAATTTTTTGTACCCAGGAGTTCTCGAAAGAGCTTAGACACACTGATGTGAAAGGTTCTAGGCCGAAAATCCATTGATCAGTGATGTCTCCAAGGATGCCCGGTGTGCCAAGTGAATGCATCTGCTGCACGTATTTGCTTATCCCTGAATAGGAACGGATCCCTGAATAGGAACGGATCCAGCATCGAATCCTGGATGGATCCAAGCTTCTAATTCCGTGGACCGCACTAGCTCCCTGAAAACCAAGCCAAAGACGGAGAGGTCCGCTTCTTGCCGTCTCAGTGCCGCGGCCCTGTTGGCCTTGTTATAGACCCACCAGTGCCCTTGAGCTTGAGAAGGGCTTCAGCCAATCTACCTGGAACACCTTCGGACCGCGAGCGTCGCGTTTGTGATTGGAACGAGCTCCCAGAATTCCGCACAAGCCATGCTTCATGTGATATCAATCGGGTGTCTCAAGAGGATGCTGTGGCTTGTCGATGAGATCGGTCTCGACAAGATTTGAGATGCGGAGAACGCTATGCGTTGCAGAGATTGCTCCATTGTGTATGAAGTCAATACAAAATCACAGGCTTAAAAAAGAAACCGCGCTTTGAAAACGGGTTTTGAGAAGCGGTGCGGCACTTAAGAGCTATGAAGCTTGCGAAAAGACCCTTAGAGATAAAAAGAACGTGAATATAGTGTCCTGTTATATATACGCTATCACATGCTGCCTTGAGGAAGCCCCTACCGAAGTACTTCGGCAGCACAGCCGTTCTACGGCGTACTTTTCCTCTAGCCCATGGGGTTAACTTGTTAGAGAGTGTGGCACATTTGTAATAACGACTTGAACGGAAATAACCATTTTAAGGGTTTTTCAGTGGAGTTTACAGCCCTCTTCTCAAGACCTAGACTTCTCTAGTTCCTGAGTTACAAGCCGGCGAAGATGTGAAGCCCATATTTCAAGGTCATTCAGGCATGCATGGCGCCGCAAAAAAATCACTTAAATCCTGTGAGCCATTGACCATGTGCCGCTCAAAGCCAATACAAATGCATTCGACCAATGGTTCATATCTGGCGTACGTGAGAGCAATTTCACAGTACAACGGGCGCCAACTGCCCTTCAAGCAATGTTGTGCAGGTTGTGCATGTCGCAATGACGAACCCCGTTTTGAGCGACATAAAAGAGGTTGTATACACTTGCTAGCTATCATGGAAATAAGAACTACAATCGAATAGCTTAAGAGCGGCGCCATAACTAAAGATGTGAGACAATTAAGCATCCTAAACTCACGGATAGGTAAGCAAGAACACCACGAGAAACGGCCACACGCGAACACATGACGGCACATGGTTCAGCACACCGCAAGCACCGCCACGGCCACCTCTCGAGAGATTTCAGTACTACGAGTGAGTGCTAGGGTGACAGTTTCGCGCGGCAGGGCATCACCCCAGCATCATACAAACGTTCCATGGCGCAATCAAACAATGGCGTATTGACGAGCATATTTACTAAAGGAGAACCTTTGTTGTCTGGTGTTTTGTGGTCCACTGAAAAGAATACCAATAGTTATGTATGGGCTTATTTTATCATGCATGGTGCTTGCTTTGATGTCTTAAATTGTAGAATTTTTTTAACACGTGCTTGGGGGAGGGTCAATTTAACTCCCCAAAGTTTTTTTTTAGAATGATTTCGGAACGGCATGGTATGGCAGCGCCACATTTGGGATATCTGTACGAAATTGAGCCGATCCATTGACCATGTTTTGTCCAGAGAACTCCCACAGCGTGCTGGGTCAAAGTTTTCGTGCACGGTACGCTGTGAATTTTTCGATTTTTGCGACAGGCTCGGTGGCTTTAGTACCTCAATCGGCAACAGATTGACGGCGGGTCAAATTCATCATCAAAAGGTTGTGCGTTCGAAATAAGGGTGTCCTAAAATGCTATACCAGTTCTCTATTAAAGGTGATGAATTGTTTGATAACAGCCAGTGCATGCGCTCCATGTAAGGCGGTCTTCAATTCCTTCAGAGTTTCTTACAAAAATTATGGACATAATATTCATAAAGATCTTATTTTCTAATGTTTATCTTGCTCATCAGAGTGACATCATACCGATGAACAAATGATAGGTTGCCTACTGTCATTATATTAAATCGTTTTAATGTACGATTTGGGAAGTTTAGGGCATACTGCAGCCATTTTCAGCACTGCAGTGACCTGGAGTTAGTGCCGCGTTAACCGCACGATCTGCTTCCGGTACGCACGTACTGTTCACCAGATGCGTGGTTCAAATACACCAATCGCCGCGATGCTTTGTTCGGACTTGTCAGATTGTGGCAGGAGAGACCGGATCTAGTTATTGTGTGGCTTACTTGTTACAGTGTCGATCGATGTCACAAAATGACGTCCGATGCAGCCTATGTGCGGTGACATAGATGCGGTGCGGGCGGTGATATCCGACTGCGGTACACGTGTAGCAGCGCTTTGCGGGATTGTCTAAGGAGTGTTCCAGCTCTATTCCAATGTCCCCTCTACCCTTAACCCTCGCCCTTATTCGCCGTTTTTCATAACGCGGACTGATCCTGGGTCGATAGTATTTCCCCTTCCGTTTCCAAACTAAGAAAAATAGAGCAAGCACCAGTGGACTACGCTCGGCGAGATACCGCGATTGGTAGAGAGCTTATGTTGGTAGGTCCATGATTGGCCTCACCATGCCAGCCTAGAGGTAAAACCCTCCGAAAAATTAAGTTAGGTTTCTCGGCTTTGCGTGCTGGTATACATATATGTATATATATATATATACGTTATTTATAGATTGAATATATATTATATATATTGAATAATATATTGAATATATATATATATATATATATATATATATATATAAGCAACGTCTTGTAGTTTCAGTGAACAAGCGTGTGCCTTGCTCAATATATGTATACAACTGCATATAAGTTTATATGTTTTGGGCATGACTGTGTGATGTATGGATCTGTTAATAAAACATCACCTAAGGCGGTCCAGGGTGGTCCGCGAAGTCATCAGTTGCCGCCCGCCACCCGCACCGACCGTAGATCACCGTACAAACCGCCGCTGCCCCGAAAGCAAAAATGCTCAGGACCTGCTTGATGTCCAAACACGTGAAACATATGTCCCATGGTTTACTGAAAAATTGTGTGCCATTACACAACAGGCCGGAAATATGTCCTCAGACTAATTACGTATCCCTAGACTCCGTCGATGCGACCCTCCTTAGGAGGGTTCAATCGAGCCCCTCTCGTATCAGGGCGAGGGCTCAGTTATAATATAATATTGCTAAGAAATACACCGACGAACTACTGTTTTCCGTCTACCTTACTAGAAGTCTCCTAATGTAATCTCCACCACTAAGTTATAATCACGATTTTTTGCGATTTGGTATCGCTATGATGGTTTAATCATTTACATCAGCTGCAAACATACATGTACAGCGAGCGAGCAACGTAGCCAGGAAATGGCAACAACGTATCCTGATACTAGCGCTTGATTTGCCTTCAAACTATCGTCACAGTTACTTTAATATTTTGGGCGTGGCAACTATCTATAACTGTGATCTATATGTGGCAACGGATCGCGGGCTTGAAAGATGTCACATCATCCCTACTCCGCCCAAAATATCTGGGTATTCTGAATCAAATAACCTAAGAAAAGAAAAGCCGGTAATCCGGGACTATCTACCATTTATCCACCGCCAACGAACCATTTACTCTCTATATCTGGAACATCTATCTCGATGTCCCATCTATCCTGCCCCATTTCAGTATTGTGGTAAATTGTTAGCGCAACACATTCTTTTAATATTAGATCCATAATTGAAATGTGAGCAAAGAAGCGATAAGTGTAAGTGGCGCGAAATAGGAAAGAGCCAACAGGGCTATTATGTGGCGTCTGCAAACAAACATCTTAAAAGACGACGAACCCTTTGCTTCGATAGGAATCAAAACAGCTCATTACGTAAGCGAAGTGCGTTTTGCGTGGCGCCCGAAGCGGGGCCGAAGGCGTTGCACTTTCCTCCCAGCTGAACAGCATATATAAGTTGATGAAAACTTTTCAGGTGAACTCAGCCTAATCTGCCCTCAATGGCCTCCTGCATCACGACACTATTGTCCACCACCCCATGCCGAAATGAAAAAAACCCGTCCAACACAAGAACACGCAACACAGTCCCATATCACAACAGTCTTAGGAAGAGCGCGCCTGGATGTTGCAGTTTTCATTAAATTTGTGTATCGATATGTCGAGTCAAGGGTACAATCTATATATATATATATATATATATATATATATATATATATAGAAATATATATATATATATATATATAATAGTCATGTTATTGCCAAATTATATAATAATCATATTTAGCTTGATGTTGTCTAAAGACACTGGACTAAATTTGGCGATCATTATGAAGTAAAAGCACACCAACCTGCCCAGATGCATTCTTACCGTTTTTAATTCGTTGCTCGGCCCGCGTTAAGTTTTTGTTCGCAGCTGATCCTACTGATGCAATCCCGCATGTGCAAAAACTGCACCACTCGGATTATGTTTCGCCAGCTCTGTGCGAAAACTAACGATGGTCATCATGAGAAAAAGCATGTATTGGTGCGAATGATTAAGAAAGTTCTGCACATGCCGACTTCATTATCCGTGTGGGACATGTTGCAAATCCAATGTCTTAAAGTGTAAAAATTCGCCGCGAAACATACATGCCACGTTCTAAAGAGAATACGTGCAAGATATGCTTAGCGCAAATTTGATCCACCCAACGCAAAGTCAGAATGACAACACGACTTCATTGATAGCTAACAATAGACGGTTGCTCAAATCATTGCCCACCACACTCTTGTCGGAGCAGAGTTTCACAGTCATGCAGCATCGCCACTGTAACTACTTACCCACACAACAACTACACTCGGTCTTCCCTACCTGTGCCTCGCGTCACGGTGTAACCGGGTGGCCCTGGAGCGGGGACCGTGACCCTGGCCGGCCCGCCCCGGCAGCGGCGGAAGCCACCTGTAGCTGCCGGTGCGAGCTGAGCGCCGTGTGACGCCGTCCGACGATGCGTCCACCTGCACGGGCTCCGGCTGGCGCGTTCCCGCCGCTCGTTCCAGTTCGCACACACACAAGGTCTGACCTCGCCTGCCGGGCGCGGTCAAGGTCACGGACTGACGCGAGGCTGCCCTGCGGGTCAGTGGGCGGCGACCCGGCGCCACCACCTGTGGCCGTCGGAGCGCTCTGCCGCCGCGCGCCAGCCAGGTGCCGGCCGCGGCGCCAGCCTGCGCAGCTCATACAAATCCGAATCAATATAGCCAGCAGTGCGACGCGTTCCAAATAGACGGGCAGAACCGCCGCCGCCGCCGCTGCTGCTGCTGCTGCTGCTGCTGCTGCACGAGCACCGAAAGGGTGCGGAGCGACCCGGACAGGTCGACGAGCAAGGCCATGAGCTGGGGAGGGGAGGGGGGGGGGGGGGGCTGGGATCTAATGAAAACCGCAGTTCAGGGAAAGGCGGTGTCCGACCTAGCAAGGTTTTGAGGAAGTTCAAAGGCTTGAAACAGTGGCGGTCCGGGAAAGGCTACGCCACAGGAATGGCAAGTGTCTGGTGATGATCAGGGCCTGGTGATGATCAGGGTCTGGTGATGATCAGGGTCTGGTGATGATCAGGGCCTGGTGATGATCAGGGCCTGGTGATGATCAGGGCCTGGTGATGATCAGGGTCTGGTGATGGTCACGGTCTGGTGATGGTCAGGGTCTGGCTATGGTCAGGGTGCGTATATGGTCACGGTCCGGCGATGGTCAGGGTCTGACGATGGTCAGGGTCCGGTGATAGCCAGGGTCTGGACATGTTCGGGATCCGGTCATGGTCAGTGTCTGGTGATGGTCAGGGTATGGCGATGGTCAGGGTCTGGTGATGGTCACGGTCCGGTGATGGTCAGGGTATGGCGATGGTCACGGCCCGATGATGGTCAGGGTATGGCGATGGTCAGGGTCTGGTGATGGTCAGGGTCTGGCGATGGTCACGGTCCGGTGATGGTCACGGTCCGGTGATAGTCACGGTCCGGTGATGGTCACGGTCCGGTGATGGTCAGGATCTGGTGATGGTCAGGATCTGGTGATGGTCAGGGTCTGGCGATGGTCACGGTCCGGTGATGGTCACGGTCCGGTGATAGTCACGGTCCGGTGATGGTCAGGATCTGGTGATGGTCAGGATCTGGTGATGGTCAGGGCTCATCAGTATTCAGGGCACGGGTTTGATCAGTCGTCGAGCTCAACCGTGTCCGAGCCAGGGCTCGGCAAAATGGACACCAGAGGGCTGTCAAGGCGAAGGCTAAAGTAAGTCTGGAATAATCGGAGTCCCGGGACATTCCGACTGCGAGAATGAGCAGGATCAGAAGGTGTCGCCGAAGTCTGAGATAGTCAGGATTCCAGGACCGTTAGGGTCAGGGGATGGACAGACGCCGCTGAAGCGGTGCTCTGACGGTAGTCGCAGTCAGAAGATGGTCTGTGTCCCGGGGCAAGCTAGTGCCAGAAATTGGCCAAGGTCTGGAAATGACCCTGTTCTCTGGTTGACACCGCCTCGAGTATGACGTTTATCATCGTCTGAGTTTAGAAGGGTTCTGACAAAATACGTGGACACTCGTCTGAATTAGAGGGTTGCTTTCCAGGCCTTTATTTGGCATTTATTACGCCATATTATCAAAATTGTTGTGCACTTTTGTTGATTTTCCATTCCTTTCGAGCTTTTGCTTTACCAATCATTTGGCAAATCGACGGTTTCGTTTTGCTTTCAGGTCAGATTCGGCTGTTTTGCGAATGGATCACTGTTGAACGCCCTCAATCTTGAACCTCCACGCCCATCCCTGGCATTCTTCAGTGACGGATCCAGAGGGAGGGGGAGGGGCGATGAGACACGTCCAACCTCTTTGCGCTCCGAAGGAGCCCATAAACTTTGAGGGAGCCCATAACCGGACGACTGTACGCAGGTTTTCAATACAAAACGCCAAAATAGACGTCGTTGGGCCTCCTGATGACCAGGAAAGACTGCAAGCAGAAATGGAGGACCGTTGTGCAAGCAAAAATCGGTCCTCGCTCCTTGGGAGGGCTAAGGTTGGAGAGGCTTTAGGACTCATTGCGCTATCCAGGGGCCCCACGCTGTTGCTGGAGGCCCTCTATGTTAACCGATATGCCAACCGAAGGTCCAATACGCCAACCTGAGCACTCTTTTTCATACAAGTTAGCCTACCGAGGCACTCGATGCTCTGCGGCGCTTTACATTGGTCCAAGGCCCTTTCCATTCACTCTAATTTGTGAAGAACCCTGCATTTTTGTCGGGCGCCTTTCTGTTAGCCTGTCCGGGCACTCTTAATTACTCAGGGGCCCCACCACATTGGTATTGGGTACTTTATGTTTCCTCGGGCAATACTATCCTTTTGTCAGCGCCCCATCGTTCATATACCCGCTTTCGATCTCTCAGGGGCCTCCCAAACTGGTTTTGATTCTTCCCGTTTGCTTGGCGGGCCCCGCGCTGTAGCCAGGGCCCTATGTGCCACCCGGGCGCTCCCGCCAATCCCGATCGTTCAGGGATCCTCCACGGGGGTCTTGGGTTCTTCTCGTTTGCTCGGAGGTCCTTACACTGTAAACGGATTCCTTTTTGTTGACCTGCCGCAGCGCCGTCGATCGCCCAAGTGCCGTCCACGTCGGTCTTGAGTTTGCCATTTTCTCAGAGGGCGTGGGCTGTTGCCGGGTCCGACAGGTTAATTGGCTGGGCCCTCCTGATCACTCCAGGCCTTTTAAATTGGCATTGGGCCTTTCCCATGCGGTTGGAGAGATCTCACTCAGTTGCCAAAGGTCCTGCATGTGTTTGCGAGCGCCAGAACGCCGTCACTCATGGCGTATTGCTAGCTGTCGTACACGGACCTGGCTGAAAAAAAATTATGTACAGAAGTCCGAGATAAACAAGATACTGATTTTTGTTGACGTCTTGGGTGCAGATAGCACGCTCTGCAAATGTTGCGATGGATTTTATGCATCGGTGAAATAGGCTTTTTCACTTTTTTCGGGTGCTGAATTTGTGATACTTATACCTATGCATGACATTTTGAACACATCGCGAACGCCAGCATATTTCGTACCACTCCATTACAGTCAAACCGAAAAATATGCATTAGTCATAAACGGTCAGCCGACCACGACATTGACTAACCTTCTAACTGTCGGAAACCGGGTAGCCTCAACTTACCTTGGGGTCAAGTGTCATGCTTGATTTGCATGGCATTTAGCAGCTGCTTTAGTTCATTTACCATAGCATCTCCGAGGCACTTAGCCTCAAAATGGCAGGATCCACCAGAATGTCGAGAAAATGAGCGGGGCCCACACATCTATGCCTACGTAAATCAACTGCCTTCTGAGGGAGCGCACATAAATATGGTTTTCCTATTAAATAGAGCAGCCAGAAGAATGCTAAAATCTGACGGCCAAAGTGTGGGATTCCTTTGGGAAGCGATCGAAAATTTCAGGGAGTCGCTGTTGAATCCCCCGCCCTCTCCCATTGACGAAATCTCGGATCCGTCGCTGGCGCCGCTTGGTATCGACGCAGAACTTCTCGTGTCATCCTCGTTAAATTTACTCCACATCGTACCTCATGGAGAAGCATCAGGCATTCCATACTGATAGTTGTCTGTCTATTCAAGTTTGTGCTGCATTATGCATGTTATGAAGTTTCAGTCAGGTCATATCGGGCTAGTGGTGTTGAGGCATTCAACCAGAGATCGTCGGGATGAAACGCCGTTCAGCAAAATATTTCTTAGCTTCGCCTTCTAGGGCTACTTGTAAATTGTTTTTTTCCGATCGTTCGCCGATCACTAGTACTCCTGACCTGAACTTGACTATTCCAGGGTAGTCATGCTTTACACAGTTTACATCATCATAGGTACGAACTAGAAGAGAAGTTTGATTGTTGACAATGACTAGATGATCCAGGGTGCCAATTTGTCATCTGCTTCCGATTTCTCGCCTGACAGTACCTGACCTGACAGTGTAAAAGTACATGCCGTAAAACAGATTAAAAACGTCACACTGGGAAAATACGAGACACATATAAGAACAAACAAAACTTTAGAAATTCTCATCTGCATAAGACTCTTCTGCACTACCAATCCTAGCGGTAAAGTTAGAGTTTGTATGTAGTGAAGCACAGACAGGGGCGGCGCCTTTGTTTTGGAGCAGGGGGGGGGGGGAGGAATACTTTTACAGGGACCTCCTCGGCAGTTCTAAATTAAGGGAAGGAGCCTGAAAGCACGTGCCCCCTTATCGAATTGTTACATGAATCAATATCTATGTATACAAATGTCGATAATTAAATATTCAGAATGAGGATCTTCTGCTTAATACGATCGGATGGCACCCTTCCTCTTGTTTTGAACTGTAACAATTCGGATGTCTTCTTCATCCAGCAAAGGCCCCCCAGTTTGAAAACAAAGCTTCCTGTGCCAGAAAAGAACTTTGTGATGCATAAAGGGGCCTCCTGGTTTAGGACAGGAGTTTTCCGGTTCACAAAATGGGTCACCAAATTCTGCAAGAGGCCTGGTTATCAGACAGGGAATTCAAATTGAGATCTCGAAAACTAAGAGAGATAGATATACAAAATTCGCGGGGTGTGTTAGCCTGCACATGAACTCAATTGTGCTAAAATTCGAGGTTATTGGAACATCATCTTTGGGTCAAAAAAAGTCAAACAAGGTCAAAATCTGGATTGGTGTCTAAATTGCCTCCAGACTCTCTCATGCAACCGTCGTAGACCTAGATACCTGTTGTAAGCAAAAGGCCATTGGTGCTCATTTAAGCTAGATGCCTTGTTTGGCCTTTCGAAAGTCATGAGTCCAAAACCACACAAGACGGCTTTAATTTCTGCATTTGAACGGACGTCAAGGATAACGCTGTGCAGCATTCCCCTAAACTTAAATATTGACCCGGGTCATTGTACGTCAATGACCTCTTTAGGAAGTCCATTGATGAGCCATAGCCGTTGCCACACATCTCAGAGATGTATGGCCTCGTCCAACACCCCGTTGTTGCACCACCTTGAACGATTATCAAGGAATTGTCTGCGCT